GACGCAGTGTCTCGTTCCCCTCAGGGAACCATGGTTACATAAGTAACCCGAGACGTTTTCCCCCTGCTGTACTGAAACAATACCGCCAAAACCGAGGTACGTACCGAACCGTCATGTTTGTGTACCATTACACCCCATATACAAGTATGTTGTGAAAGTGTAGGTAGCTCTTTTTATTTATTTAAATCCTCTGCCACTTCAAGACATGATCAAAGAAAAAACTGCAACAATAACTATATTAGTGTCCACACTAATGGATGATAACAGCATTGCACAAGCTGTAGTGTTGTCGGCTGCCGTTTTAAAGGTGCTGTATGTACTTTTTTTGACTGTACTGAAGCATAAAAACACCATAATACATTTGCTGATATTCAGGAAACATGCTTCATGCAAGTTCACATACTTGTTTCTCCAAAAAAACATGCTACAGCCAGTTATTTTACTTTGAAAATGTGCATTCCATGTCGAAATGTCTGTTTTTGTTTTAGTCTGTTTGATTCCGACCACTGCCAGTTTACCCAGTAATATTAGTTTCCACACTAATGGATGATAACAGCGTTGCACAAGCTGTAGTGTTGTCGGCTGCCGTTTTAAAGGTACTGTATATATATTTTTTTGACTGTACTGAAGCATAAAAACACCATAATACATTTGCTGATATTCAGGAAACATGCTTCATGCAAGTTCAGATACTTGTTTCTCCAAAAAAACATGCTACAGCCAGTTATTTTACTTTGAAAATGTGCATTCCATGTCAAAATGTCTGCTTTTGTTTTGGTCTGTGTGATTCCGCCCACTGCCAGTTTACCCAATAATATTTCGAAAGCCTGAATTGCCAGTTTGCAGAAAACACAGCATACTGCAGCCATGGAAGTGAGCAAACAAACCGGGTGAAAGATTGCAGATTCTACCTGACCTAAAAAGTCTCGGCATCCATGTAAAAGCTCTATGACCACTACAGGCATATTAAAACACGGAAAAATCAACTCATCAATTTATAGTGTAGGTTCATCGCCTTCCATTGTCAGTTGCACTCATTCGTGTCGCGTGTCCTCAATCTGATAACCCTTGTGGGTGTTGCGTCTGAGGAGGAGGGGGCGGGAGAAAATGTCTCGGGTTACACATGTAACCATGGTTCCCCGAGAAGAGAACGAGACACTGCGTCCTCTAGCAGTCGCTATGGGGAACGCCTTCAGCGTGACCAGTGTCTAAAGCAAATTTCTAAACATGACAATAACATTGGCGGGCGACAGCCTATGATGTCACTACTGGCACAACCACAGTATAAAAATGGCGCCGATTGAACACGTCATACGTTTCTTCGTCTGAAGCTTGCGTCCAAGGCATGGCAAGAAAAGAGGACGCAGTGTCTTGTTTCCTTCTCAGGGAACCATGGTTATATGCATTAGGCTAAAGATGGCCTAACAACCTGGATAGACTGTGCACAGAGCTCTGGGAGAGCAGAGTCCTTGGTTCTCAGATCAAGAGAACTCACATGCTCCGTCCAGGAGCAGCAGGCTCATTGGTGACCCTCCCACAGTGATGGGAGCACTGCCAAGCTCATACGGGCAGCCTTGACTCTAGGACTTGAGTCCTAGCCTCTCAGATTGAGAAGAGAACTCATATGATTGCTCTGGGAGCAGCAGGCTCATAGAAAAACCCTCCCGCAGTGAGTGGAGCACTGCCAAGCTCAACCATAAGCAGCGGCTGTATACAGAGCCCTGAGAGCGGAGAACTCGATTTTCAAATCAACAAGGGAGCTCACATACTCAACCTGGGAACAGTAGGCTCATATGCAACTCTCCCGTAGTGAGGAGAGCGCTGCCAAACTCCATCAAAAAGGGCAGTGTAGCAGGGCGACAGAAAGAAGGCCTGTCAACCTGATATAACTGGACACAGGGCTCCTTCACACTCTTAAACTCATACATCAGTATAGGGAGAGTGAGGGTCCCATACTGCTAGGCCTGGAAGAGCCTGCTGAAGAAGTTTGAGGGAGCGGTGCCTTAGCATCACCCTTACTTTTGAGGGGAGCAATACTAGCTCGACCACAAGAACAGAACAGGACCCAAAGCCATCTACTCGCTCACTAATCAGTAATTTCCAAATAGACCTTCAGAATGAAGGGAGTACATCACACTCATACCTCAGGGAAAAAGTGCACTCAAAACCACTTGTACGAGAGGAGAGACTGATTCAACCATAAGGGCAGTGTGAGTTACTCATAACTCAAGCTCAGTGCATGTGCAGAGGGTCATGGGGTAGTTTAAGTGTGCAGAAGCCCCTCAGGACGAGACATGAAATAGCTCACCTCATGAGTGCCCTGGCCAGGGTGGCTTCTCAAAGCCAAGCATCCACCAGAGCCATCAGGGAGCAGGACACGGAAAATTCCTTGACTATCGTCTTGCTCAACCTGAAAGCAACCCCCTTAAGGAGCCCAGAGGATCTTTGAGGTTGCAGCACTAACCTGGGACCTTGATGACCAAGGAGGCTCCTAGAAGAAGCCTAACACCTCGGTGTCAGGGATCTCCAGAATGAACAGGGAGTCCCAATAAAACAGGCCTAACAACCCGGTACCAAGGGAACCAGTACCAGACGTACCCACAGGTTGCCCATAGGAGGGGCTACAGTCAAGCCCCTGTCTCCAGGGAGCAGAATGCTCAACTGCACCTACTCGTAGGTGAGGAGCCCCGGTTCAACCTAGAGATGTGAGAGGATAGGAGGCTGTGAAGGCTTACAACCTGGTTAAGGAGAACCCAATTGGGTCACCAGAGTGCTGCAAGAAGAAGGCTAGTTACTACATACACACAAGAAACTAGCAATAAAATAGGAATGAAATGGATCTTAACTCACCCACCATTGTTCCATCACGTGGCCTCAGGCTACAGATATCTTCCGAAGACAAGGTGAGAAAGCCAGCTTGGAATCAAACCATCAGTAGGCAGTTCATTATGAAATAGAAACAGCCAAACACATCATCGTCCAGAATAGGGGACTATAGTTGCAAGCGCATGGAAGCTCCCACCTAACCTTAATTAGGGGAAGAGGGGTAGGTGGTAGGGGGAATTTGGAAGAGGAAGACAAGGGCAGGTTTTTATACCCTCAGAGGGAAGTGAGTAGATTTTAAGTTTTACTCTGGTCCGGACGGAAGCACTCAAGAGCGCCTCATCTGGATCACTTCCCTCAGGTCTTGCCTCTGCTAGCCTTACCCGCAGATGGGGCAGTCACAACACTAGTCTTCTGGGCCCGTCATTTGTCCCTAGACTGGGACAGGCCAGGACCCCCTTGTTGTTCGGGCTCAGACCTGGGCCTTCGAGGAATGAAGGACTTAAAGGCAGCCGAACGTGTCTTTGCCTCTCTAAACGTCTCGATTACAGTTTCGACTGAAGTGCCGAAAAGT